TAAATCCAATATGAAACTAAATACAAGCATTTTGCAACACTATCTCCTTCTCAATGGCAATTTATGTCAGGGGTGTCAAACACAAGGTCTGCGGGCCAGATCCGGCCTGCGGGGTGCTTAAATCTGGCCCACGGGGCCAGCATGGAAATATCAAAGGACCGGCCCGCAGTGCCACTGCCAGCCAAAACAGCCCATGGGGAGGCATGTGCGGACCCACAAAGCCCATTTTCGGCTTCCCCAGCCTCCAACAACATTCTGCCAGCCAAAAACGGGCCATGCAACCTGGTTTTGGCCAGCAGAGTGCTGCAGGAGGCCATGGAGGCTGAAAACAAGGCACTGGGGTGGATTCCCTGTGAAGGGAATCAGATATATAGCAATAGAACTTTTTACAGACAATGGTCCAATTTTGGTGATTGGAATTTATGCTCCTAATCAGCAACAAGAAAATTTTTATAAAATATTGTATTCTAAAATATTACAATGGGACTATAGATCTATCCTACTTATGGGAGATTGGAATGGAGTAATAGATTCTAAAAAAGATAAGAAGAGCTTGGCAAAGTCATGTGTTAAACTACCACAGATCTTTTTTGATATGAAAGAAGATTTGGAACTGAAAGATATATGGAGAGTGCATAACCCAAAAGAACTGGACTTTACTTTTTTTTCAGATAGACATAGATCCTTCTCTAGGATAGACTTTATTCTACTTATGGCTGACTTACTTTTAAAAACAAAGAAAACAAAGATATTTCCGAGGACTTTATCTGACCATAGCCCGGTATGGATAGAAATAGAAATGGGAAAGAATGAGAGAAGATCGTGGAGAGTAAATGAAAATTTGTTTAGATATGAAAAGAATGTAAATGAACTTAAAAAACAAATGGAGGAATTTTTTGAAATGAATTTGAATAAGGGTACCCCTATTGAAATTGTTTGGGATGCGAGTAAGGCGTATATGCGGGGGGTACTGATCTACATGAACTCTAAACATAAGTTAAATCGACAAAGAAAAAGATTAGAAATGGAAGGAGAGATAAAGAAAAAAGAGCAGTTACTTATAAAAAATCCAACAGATGAAAAACTACAAGGAATTATAAAACTTTTGAAAGATCAATTTCAAATGCTTACAGCAGAATAAGCAGCAACTAATTTACAATTTGCGAAACATAATACATTTTGCAACGCTAATAAACCGGGCAGGTGGTTGGCTTACACAATGAGGAAACAACAGAGTACTCGGACTATTGGTAGTATTGAGTATGGAGGGAAGGAAGTATTTCAACAAAGATTAATCAAAGAAGCCTTTCTAGTTTATTATACTAAACTATATGCTAAAGATGATATACAGAATGAACTTATAAATAAATATCTAGAAGAAAAGAGAGTTATAAAAATTTCTAGTGATCAAAAGGAAAGAACGAGTCTACCAATAACAGCTGAGGAGATTATTGTAGCTATTAAACAACTGAAAACAGCTAAAGCTCCAGGAACGGATGGTTTAACTGCGGTGTATTATAAAACTCTACAAGCAGAAATGATTGAACATCTTAAAGACTTATTTTGTAGCATACAACAAGGGGGGAAAATACCCCCTTCATGGAAAGCAGCTTTTGTCTCTCTGATACCGAAAGAGGAAGCAGGTTCTACAAAACCGGAAAATTTTAGACCAATATCTCTCCTGAATACGGATTATAAAATTTTTGCTAAAGTATTAGCCAACAGATTAATGCCAGTTATTCAAGAGGTGATCCATCATGATCAAGCAGGATTTATAGAAGGCAGATACATGAAGGATAATGTAAGGCAAATTATAGATTTATTGGAATATCTTGAGAAGAATAAACAGATCTCTGCAGTGCTGGTGTTTTTGGATGTGGAGAAGGCCTTTGATCGAGTGAATTGGAACTTTCTATTAAAGACTTTAAGAAAGATAGATTTTGGGGATCAGTTTGTACAGGCGGTTTCAGCAATCTATCAAGAGCAAACAGCACAAATTATTATTAATGGAAGTTTAACTACAAATTTCAGTATAGAAAAAGGCACAAGACAAGGTTGTCCATTATCCCCGTTGTTGTTTATTTTAACTCTAGAAGTCTTGTTGAACACAATACAGGATTTGAGCACTTTGAAGGGAATAGTTATAAGGCAAGAGGATTACAGAACAAGGGCATTTGCAGATGATCTGGTTGTTACCCTAACATGGCCGATGGAATCAATAATTTAGATGAAAGACATTATAGAAGAATATGATATGGTATCAGGATTCAGACTGAATCAGAAAAAAACCAAGATGATAGTTAAAAATATGACAGTTGATCAAAAGAAGGAATTGGAAAGGAAGGCAGGCTTTGAAATAGTATCAAAGGTGAGATATCTAGGAGTTCAAGTTGCAGACTCAAATATAAAACTGTTTCAAAACAATTATGAGGTGTTGTGGCAAAAGGTACAAAAGGATATGGAAACCTGGAAAAAACTGCAGCTGTCTCTACTCGGAAGAATAGCAGTAGTTAAAATGAATGTTCTACCTAGATTTTTATTTTTGTTTCAAATGATCCCGGTGCTTAAAAGTGATAAACAGTTGACGGAATGGCAAAAAGGAGTGAATAAGTTTGTTTGGAATGAGAAAAAGCCAAGAGTGAAATTGAAAATTATGCAAGATGTTCGTGAAAGGGGTGGTCTTAAACTTCCAAACCTTCGACTGTACTATGAAGCAGCAGCGTTGACACAAACAAGTGACTGGTTTGGAAGGATAAACACTGGAATATTGAATATAGAGAGTTATGACCTTCAATTTGGTTGGCATGCATATCTATTTTATGAAAACAAGGTGGATAAAGTATTCAACAGCCATATGCTTAGAAACTCCTTGATGAGAGTATGGAAGAAGCACCGGTTCAAATGGGATTATAAAATACCGTTGTGGTTGGATCTTGGTCACATTATACAGAATATAAATATAAAGTCACTCAGGGGGTTTTTATATAAAGAAGTACTTTTGTGTGATGGAGGCAGATTGCAACTAAAGACATTCAACACACTGTTGGAAGAAGGGATTAATTTAACTTGGTTACAGTATAATCAACTTCAACTGAGATGGAGAGAAGATCAAAAAATTGGATTAATGTTGCATGAAGAAGAATTGGTTAGACAGATAAAAGAGAAAGGCCCAATGCATATTAAGAGGGTTTATAATGTTTTGTTAGAAAGAGATTCAGAAAATGAATTGGTTAAAGATTGTATGATAAAATGGGTGCAAAATTTTGGAGAACCAGTTATGATGGAAACGTGGGAAAAAATATGGGTTCAGAATGTTAAATTCACACAGTCGCAGAATTTGAGGGAAAATTTTTATAAAATGTTTTACAGGTGGCATTTAGATCCTAAGAAATTGTCGTGCATGTATCCTAATGTTCAACCAAAATGTTGGAGATGTGATTGCTTAGATGCTACATATTATCATATATGGTGGACCTGCAAGAAAGCAAAGGCTTTCTGGATAAAAATTTGGTGGGTTATGCAAAATGTTTTGAAGAAAAAAATCCAATTTTCTCCTCAAGTTTTTTTTACTGAGTATAGTTAAGGGCTTTTCAGTGGGTGAAACAAAATTGATATTGTATATGGTGACAGCAGCTAGGTTATTGATTGGTCAATATTGGAAAAGGGATGCTATGCCCACAATTCAAGAATGGACCTTAAAGATGGCCAGTTTTGCAGAAATGGCGAAGAAATCAGCATACTTAAAAGACCAGACTCAAGAGACTTATGCATGGGAGTGGAAGAAATGGATAGATTATGTGCAGAATAAATATCAAACTAGGAAATACCAGATAGCTTTTAGCTGAATGTTGTGTAGAAATGTATAGTATATAGGGGGTAAAATAGCTTATTGTTAAGTAAAAATGTATAGTACACAGGGGGGAGAATAGAAGGGTGGTAAAGTATGATATAATATAATGTGGATGGATTTCACCTTGGGGAAGTCATGGGAGGAGGGGAGGGTTAGGGAGGGAAGGGGGGGAAATGGGAAAATTTGTATTTGTAAAACTTTTTCAATTAAAAAAAAAAAGACAACTGCAAATTTTTCCACTTCTCCAGGTCTCTTACAGTTTGATCATATAATTTAACAAAGTTGTCTTCCTTAGTTGTAGAGCATTGGGCTGATAGCCAAATTCCAAGATATTAATTTTATTTACAATTTGAACATCCAATCTAGATTCTAATATGTCCTTCTGTATCTTTGGAATATTTTTAACCAATATCTTAGTTTTGTCCTTGTTCATTTTTAATCCCGCCTCTCTACCATATTCTTCTATCATCTCTATCAACTCTGGGCCCGACTCCTGAGGGTCTTCTAGAATAAAGACGAGATCGTCCGCGAACGCCTGTATTTTAAATTCCTGCCTTCGTACTTTAAGTCCCTTAATTGCCGGGTTATTCCTAATTTCCCTGAGAAGGGGCTTCAGAGTCAGAATAAATAAAAGCGGGGAGAGCGGGCAACCCTGTCTCGTTCCCCTACTAATTGTAACCTCCTTTGTCTTTTCTCCATTAACTAGAACCCATGCCACCTGGGAAGAGTAAATTGTTTGTATTGGGGATTATTTACTCTATTCTGTGTTATGGGCATAATTATTTATTAATCAGGGCAGGAATATTATCTGCCGGGATAGACGTGTTTGTATGTTTAGTATTATGAATGGGGGAGGGAGGGAGGGGAATGAATGGTTTTTGTCTTTATGTATAATCAATGTTTTTGCCTTATGTTGATTTTGATTTGGAAAACTTAATAAAATTTATTTAAAAAAAAAGATTAGAAGGAATGTCAGGCCAAAAGGAAAGTTCCTCTCTGAAATCCCAGGAACTCACTGCCAATCCTAGTCAACATCAAAGAATTAGTGGAACACAATTCAGTGGAGACATCTCCCCAAATCACAATTGGTGTTTATTTCCAACTGATCTTACATGAGAGAACCTTTCTGAGATATGTTCAATTTTCTTACCTTTCTGTAAATTTTCCTCAAGTTTTCCAGCAACATCATTTATATTGCTTTTTTGAAGGACATGAATGCACACCTTTGGAGCCTCTTCTCCATAATTTTGAATCAGGAGATCTACAACTTCTCGCTGATTAGCTTTCTCCAATGAAGCTATAGGAATGTTTGGCTTTTCATTGTGGTCAATATCCTTTAGCCGCCATTTAAAATCCTTAAATTGCTGCTCAAAGAGGTCATTCAATGCTTTGAAAAGTTCTTCTCTCACAGCGTTGTTCATGTCAGTTATGATAGATTATATCTGACCTAAAATTAAAATTAGAGAAATTAATATTTTATAGAAAATGTCAAGAGTGTCAGTACAGCAAAATTTTTGGGAAGCTTGTCTCAAAACTGCTGCCTATGCATTGAGGGGAATCACTTCCCCAAAGCCTAGCAAGAATGCCAGCAGATTAAGACAGAGGCCCAGCCCACAAGGGTGGCTTCCTTCTTTTGCAAAACACCATCACTGAGCTTCTTTCCTAGTCGACTCTACTTTCTCTTCCTCTTCTGGAGTAAATAGTAGGTCTTTTCCCAGCTTTAGTAAACCAGGGTCTCCCTTTGGCTCCTTTGCTGCTTATCTGACTCCTTTTAGCAACCAATTTCTCCTGCTGCTGTTTGCAACATATGAGTTTGCTTGCCACCCAGCAAGGTAACAGGATGCAAAAAGACACAAACAGGGATGGGAGATGGGAGGCTAAGTTGCAGGGGGCCCCCCCCATGTGACTCCAGGCCTGTGCAGGATGCTAAGAATCCAAATTTTGATCATGTGACCACAGAGGGTTTCAATGGCTATAACGTCAGGTATGAGTAAGATACCCGGTATCATTGCAATTTCAAATGGGCATAAATTGAAGACTACCTGTAAAGAAAATGAAGTGAGGCACAAAATGAAGGGATGTGTCTGGTTATAAGCCAAAGGTGCTTTTTCAGGAGGCAACTAGATGTTCTTGTTTTTTCTTTAAAGACATTTTGCTTCTCATCCAAGAAGCTGCTTCAGCTCTGACTGGATGGTGGGGAATGGAAGCATTTATATTCCTTGCAAACAGCTTGTCATTTGCATTCTTTTAGAGAAGGGGTGTCAAACTCAATTGCATCACGTGACGTCACCTAATGTATCACAACGTTTTTTGCCTCTGTGGAGCCGGGGTGGGCGTGACCTGCGTGTGATGCATCTGGCCCGCGGGCCACTAGGTTGACACCCCGCCGGCCACCAGGAGGTTCATCTGGGTCAACAGCACAGATGATGTTACTTAGTTTGGGTAATGAAAAGTCTGCAAGAAAACAAAACAAGCTCATTTCAATACTGAGCTACAAATATTCTCCTTTATTAGACAGTATATTAGAAAGACAAATAAGCAGATGTTGAAAGGAAAGTTAAAAATAAGTGGAGCAAGAACATTGTAAAGGTAAGAAAATTGTAAATAATACATTTGGATTTAGCAATATTTGTGAATGGAATAACTCTTCTTCCAAATATTCCATCTGTCTTTCTGATTTGAATGTAAGGCCATCTAGTTAAGGCTCTCCAAACTACAGCAGTACTGAAGGGAATGTGCATTGCTCACTATCGCACTCAGTGAAGCAAAACAATAATCCACTTCTCTAACATGCGTATTTCATAAAATGTTCATTCTGAGACATATTTAGAGGCTCAAATATGTACTGCTTTGGATAGTTATGAATTCTGCCTTCTTTAATGGTGTCTTCCATTCATGTCAATAATGTTTTTTATTTCAAGATTAATTTTTCATCCCAGTTTCTCTTTGAATTTACTCATTTTCTTCTCTTCACTTAAAAGACCAAAGAGGAAATACATTCTTAATTAAAAATCAGGCCTTCAACTCAGAAAGCTATTCAACAATGTTGTCCTCATATTGTGAGTCTCTTTTCCAAAAGGCACCTCTCCTCGGTCTGCTAGAATATGCCAGTAAGCAACCAAAAAAAAAAAAAACCCCGGAAGCTTAAACAAATGAAACTATAAAACCAAATGCAAACTGACCTTTTGTTTTTTTGAACAGGTTCTCATTCAGAAAGAGATGGATTTCAGCCATACATTTTTAACAGTGGTGAAATCCAATTTTTTTTACTACCGGTTCTGTGGGTGTGGCTTGGTGGGCATGGCAGGGGAAAGATACTGCAAAATCCCCCATTCCCTCCCCACTCCTGGGGGAAGGATATTGCAAAATCTCCATTCCCACCCTCTTCTGGGGCCAGCGAAAGGTGGTATTTGCCGGTTCTCCAAACTGCTCAAAATTTCCTCTACCGGTTCTCCAGAACTTGTCAGAACCTGCTGGATTTCATCCCTCATTTTTAATAAAGAAATTGTTGTACCCTGACTCTATATTTCCAGAAAGTAGTAGTCTTGATTAGTTCTTGCAAAATGTAACATAGATGTTTACTTGCAAACTAAAATAGACTCTGAATTGCAATGGGAGGGGGAGCCTTGAAAACCCTTTAGAAATATTTTGGGGTTTGGCCTTTTTTTAAAGTCTTGCTTGTATTCAATGAGAAACCAGTTCACAATCCCCACTGACATCCCCCCACCCCCCCCGATACTGCCAAGGAGGTCAGGATAGGCAGAGGATAGCCTCGCTCTGATAGCAGATCCAAACTTCTAGCATTCTCTTTTTCCAACTCTTCTTGCAGAGACTCCAATGAGAGCCTGTGATGGACCACAACAAACTCCAATCCACACCAGTTCCTCCCTTTGTTCTCCAAGACCACAATCAGGAGCAGCGGACAAGACAAACCTCTCTCCTTCCCTACAACTTTCTCTTGAGGCTAAATGATGTGGGCAGTGACTTCAACCACCACCACCCCCAGCCACTTTCCCAACTTGGCAGCTCGAACATGCTGTACTTTGTTAGGCAGGCTCAGACTCAACAGACGAGATCTGACAGTGACTTCCATATCACATTTGGCATGATCTATGTTACCCTTTCCATTCACTTCACCCATTAGCCTTGGCCATAACCTAGCCACCGCCCTTCCTGATCTCCATTTGTCTGCTAAGGTTAGGACTGAAAGAACTTCAAAGGCTGCTCAAAAACAAACAGAAGCCCCACAGATCGAACCAGGCTGGGGTTCCCACCCTCTGCATCTGGCTCATAGTGCCTTGCACGCCTGGCACATAAGACCTTTTTCCTTCTTTCCCAGAGGGCACTTGAGGGCCAGATCAGCTTTTGCCAGGTAGGGACACATTTTCTGCTGTACTAATGCCCCAGATTTCACCTCTTCTGCTGAAGCATGTGATTAAACATTAAAAGCACAGACAGGTTGAGCTCTACACAGCATTTCAGCTGACTGGAAAGCCAGGAAAGTTTGTAAACATGAAATCATAGGAATTTCATCCTGGTATCAGGTATACACCCTATATGAGGAGCCAGATCTTGATGACCTCCAAGCAAAACTTAGGGGAAAAAATCTCTCTATGCTTATAGACTGATGGTGGAAATAAGGGTCCCTCTATTGCCAGCCCCATTCCAAGCTCAGATGAAGGGCCTCCTCCTTTCCTGGAGACGTTTCCTCCCTGCACAAATTATGCTGAAAAGTTTTCCTCAAAGGCCTTATATTTTTGCAAAGCAATGACCGCCCAAATAGTCTACCACACACACACACACATACACATGTTACACGAAATCCAACCCTCCTATATTTAAACACTTAGGATGGCAACCTTACCTTTTTGTGGCAAAAAATGGAGTCTGAAAGTAAATTTGTCCTTTGCCCTTCATAGGCCTCAGATAAAAGTGCTTTCATTTTCAACAGTGGCTCTCCCTTCCTCGTTGTAGTTTATTCTGTGAGTTGTGTTTGCTCTGTCGTGTCCTGAAGTAGCTGCTTCAAAAGATAGGAAACGTTTCACAGCAGTTCTGCTAAATGAATATCAAACAAGAGAGCTGTAAAAGCCTTGAAAAGATGCCTTTAAACAAAGGTTGAAATGAAGATACGCACCGGCTGCTTCACTTAATGTCTTCCACACTTTTTCTAATTCTTTCTCAACCTCCTACAGTGTTGTAATACCAGAAAAGGGTTTCTGGCCATGTGCAGATTCTTTTTCTCCTCTTTGAAAGAGATGGAGGAGGCCAAGGACCTGAAGGAGGCTAAAGGGCAGATAAAGCTCTCCTCCTGAGGGGACCCTTGCTGCTCTAAAAAAAGGTTCCCCTCCCCCCCCACCCCGTCAGCTCTGTGGGAGAAATTTTTGCCTAACTTCCATATTTCTGTCAAGTCCTTTCTGAAGCTCTTCCTCTTTCTGTGTATGTGGTACCATTTGCCATAGCTTGCATTAGAATCTTGGTGAACATTAATTTGTGAACTTGGTGAGATTTCCTTCAGTGGGTTTGGTTTGGTCCTTTTACCAGTTTTCTGCTAAGAAGCATCGATCATCTCATTGGAGTCTGTTTGATATAAGAAACTATTGGTTTTCCAATAAGCAGGTTTTCTGGCCAAAAGTTTTTTGCAGCTCTTATTTTGGGGGTGACATTTTTCAACTATCGGCCCATTTGTCTACTCCTGGATGTTGTTGTTATCCACAGCTCTTTGCTGCCAGCACTTAAAATTTGTCCTCCCATTTGATTCTGGGACAAGCAGCCAGGTTGAAGCAGGAGAAAGCTCCCTGGATGCCTGGAACTCTAGTCCTGCCAACTATTAAGTCAGCAATGAGTGCATTGAACACTGAACATTCAGTGACAAGAAGTTTTGTGTAGCTGAATATTTTGCTGTGTTATCAGTGGAATTCAGACCAGCACTATGCATTAGCATTGCAATAGTACATACCAAATAAAAATATTAACACTAAAACACTGAAGATGTTGCATTGCACTAGTTTTATTCCTATTCTGCATCATAATTACCCTCATTCAGTGCTAATGTAATACTGACCAATCACTGAATGATTGTACGACATTAAGCGAGAACTACCTGAAAGAGCTGCCTATGCTTTCCAATATCATCTCTAGAGTGTCCTTGCAGCTATAACATATGCAGGGCAAGCTCAGTATGTAGGAATAGAAGATTTAATAATACAATCTTCAAAAGAATTATAATCTCATTTTCTTTTATCACCCAGATAGAAGACCTTCTCAGGTGTCTGTGAAATCAAACCTAATAATACAATATTAAAACCCAATAAAAAATTATGAGAAATAATAGTGGCAACGAATATGTCAGTTTTAATTTTTCATTTAATCAATATAAGCCATACAAACAAAAGCTCTTTTGGGATCCTCCCTAATGTTTAAAAGTTGGGAAGGGGTCCCAAGAGAAAAAAGTTAAATTGAAAGACTAATTCAACATTGCATTAAGCTGTACTTGTCTGATATTGATGCAAGGTAGACTCTATGGCCAGTTTAAGGAGGCTTTGTTTAGACTGTGATGTTCCAGCAGTGACTAGCCATGTGCTCCGTCTGGGCTGTGAGATAGCTGGGCCCCTACTGGCCAATCCTTCTTCTGCTGTGCCCTCCCAATTCTGGGGCTCCTCTTTTTGGTCTTGCTGTGGGTGGGCAGATGAGGGCTGCCCTTATTTTTATTTTTATTTTATTTTATTTGTCGAACATGTATAACAGATATAAGTATAAACATATTATGAATACAGGAAATATATACAAATAAATGGGGAGAGTAGGACAGGGAGCGTAGGTACCTTACAGACCTCTTAGGAATGGGGTAAAGTCAACAGTAGACAGTCTAAGGTTAAAGTTATGGGGGTTTGTGGATGTAACCACAGAGTCAGGTAGTGCATTCCAGGCATTGACTACTCTGTTGCTGAAGTTGTATTTTCTGCAATCGAGTTTGGAGCGGTTTAACTTAAGTTTGTATCTATTATGTGCTCGTGTATTATTGTGGTTGAAGCTGAAGTAGTCATTGACAGGTAGGACTTTGTAGCAGATAATTTTGTGTACTTCGCTTAGGGAGCGTAGTTCTAAGTTGTCTAAGCCCAAAATTTCAAGTCTAATGGCATAAGGTATTCTGTTATGAGCAAAGGAGTGGAGGACTATTCTCGTGAAATATCTCTGGACTCACTCAATTGTATTTATGTCCGATATACACAGTGGTGGATTCCTCCCGGTTCGGCCCGGTTCTGCCGAGCCGGTAGCGGTGACGATATGACATCACCAAACCGATTCTCTTTGTTTGGGAGCTGCCCCCCCACCCCCGTTATCTTTACCTTTTATTTGGCCCTGCACCTAATCTATTAGCTGCTTCTGAGTCCCAGCTGATTGGCTGGAAGGAAGAAAACTGTTTAAACTCTTGCCATGGGGCTTCAAGGGCTGCCCTTGTCGAGATCCCCTCGACACCCGGAGCTCTAGTAACGACCGTGGATCCTGTAGCAACTTTGGATCCTGTGTATATATCATACCTGACTCCAGCGGCATGGGGGGGGGGTTGGTTTGGGTATGTTGTTCACATTGGTGGTGGGGGTGTTTAACATAACGATAGGCGGTTGGTCACGCTGCGGTCGGGTTGCAGGGTTTAGTTGTGCCGCCCTTCCGTTCTGCTAGGATGATGAAATTGATAATGCGCGCATGGGCAGAAGCCACAGTGACCCAGAAGGGCGTGCAATCAGCTGTAATTGGAGGCGTGTGTATTTAAACGGTGTTGGAAGGCAGCCACTCCCAACGCCGACTTTGTGTATTGCCGCATCAATTGTCAGGCTTGCTACTGCTGTTGCTGAGACTCGATTGAAGTAAAAGCGTTTCCAACACACGAGACCTGTTCGTAGCGTTTTCCTTTCTTCCCGAGCCGGACCCGCAGCTGAAGACCTGATAGAAAGTCGGTGTTTGTTTTCTCTTCGTTGGTTTGACCTGCCAGTGCCGTGTTTGATATGGCGGAAGGCACGGTGGCTGGTTCACCGGCGACTGAGGAGGCAGCGGAGGATACCGTGGTGGAGACGATGCCAGGCATCCAGGTACTGGAGGAGGTGGTGCTGCCGGTGGTGCGCCCCAAGGAAAGACCGTCACAGCAGGGGGAGGGCACTCCCCTCGATGCCAAGGACTGTAGTTCCAGCGGGCTGAAAACCGATGTGGGGGAGTGGTGGCAGAACTCTGCTATTACCGGCCCAAAGCAGCTGTTGCTTCAGCTGGGAGAGACGTCCTTCCAAGGGTGGAGGGAAAGAAGATGGATGGAGGACAAGGACTGTGACTGGAGCTACTCCATGGGGTTGGGAGCCTCCATTCTAGACATTTTACGGGAGAAGTTTGGAGAGGCTAGTTTCCGGGATGCTCCCTCCTGGCAGCCATGGGCACCGGGCCAGGACATTTGGCAAAGTCAAGGGGAAACCTGGAGCAGCACTGGAACCCGTTTCCATTTAGCGAGTCCAAAGCTCCGTATCGACAAGGGGGTGTATAGACCCGGATGGCGCGACCCCTCCCCAGCCTCCGGCCCTACACCTTCCACACTGGGGGAGGTTCCGCATGGAGGGGACCAGGACCAGGATGCCCCAAGGCGACATGGCTCACTGCAAGTAGGCCAGGTCGCTGCACGGGGTCATCCTAGTCAACAACGGGGAGGTGGCGGAGTCGCTCAAGACTCTCGGCCGGTGGGCCTGGCTCCTATGTGGGTACCTGGTATAGGCCAACACCAACAACATATCGGGGTCCCTTCCCCTATACAGGCCACTTTTGACGGGAGTGCAGACAGGGTATCTTTGCTTCTGAGTCAGATACTCAGTTATATGGACCTGTACGGTCGCCTTTATCTGTCGCAGTGGGCCATGGTGGTCGTTATCACTACTGTCTTAATGGGTGAAGTGGCAGATTGGGTCGCTGATTTGCACAGCGACCATGCAAAAGAATTAGCGAATGTAGGACTGTTCCTAGAAGCATTGCGCTGCCGTCTTGAAGACCAGTCAAGAACACAGCTGCTTGAAGGCGAGTTGGTAGCTCTAAAGCAGGGGGGCAGACCCGCTAGACAGTATGTCAAAGAATTTCATACAGTGGCTGGTCGCCTGCATACATGGCCCGAATGTCTATTAATACATCAATTCCGACTGGGGTTAGATAGAGAACTGGGACAAGCATGTGTGTACTCAGGGCTGCCGCCTAAGCTATTGGAGTGGTTCAGTGCAGCAGTGGATTTAGACGTAGGCTTACGAGAGTTTCGTACATGGGGAGTGAGTAGTATTCCCTTTCCACTTCGGCAAAGTGTAGAGAAACCACCGAGCCCAGGGGGGGTGACTTCCTCCCCGCCTCGCTCTCTTGTTCCTATGGGGAGGGGTTCAATCCATTGTTTCCGATGCAACCAACTGGGCCACCGGGCCGCTGACTGTCCCGTGCCTCCTCTTCTGGCTGCCACTGCCTGGGTTCCTTCGTCACCTGGGAGAGGACGTGAGCGGGCTCGATCTTCGTCCGAGTGGTCCAGAACACCCACGCCCACGGCGTCAAGGGGTACATGAGGGATGAAAGTAGAACCGGAAGCTCCTCTTGGTCAAGGCAGCGGTCCAGTAGCATCAGACAGCAGTGATGGCGAAGCACCAGCTGATCCTATGGTAAGCAACCCAGTATGTCCTTTTGTTATCCCGGTTACCCTGAACTGGGAAACATCTTCAGACTGCAAAAGCAATCCAGCAGGATGCCCTAATAGACTCGGGGTGTACTCAGTGTCTTATCCTGGGGTCTGTTGCTGTTAAGTTGGGGTTGCAGACAGCGAGGCTCCAAGCCCCTATCCGTTTCGAACAGATGGATGGCTCTCTGTTGGGTGGGAAGCCCGCGACACAAGTAACCGAATTGGTGCGGTTGGAAATTGGGGAACATTGGGAAAAAATCCGTTTTA